GAACTGAAGAAGCTTCTCGGATGAGAGGTGAAACGTCTTCAAGTAACTTAAAGAAGTCCAGACGCTTTTCTTTGCAAGCTCCTTTGACTACGATGAATCTTACTTTTTACATGTTGATTTAAGAGTAGAATTTTTTTTATTCATCTTTTGACTATTCTAAACGATGTCTTTCACTTTTTCAAATGCTGAACAGATGTCTGAACATGTTGACGATGTCAGCATCTCTTGCGATGAAGATTCAACTGTGGAGTGTCAAGAGATTAATGCAACACTAAAATGGAATTTTGAAATTGAGACAGAGGTAGGACTTAATGTTTTTTTTATTTTCAGAAAACATGTTCATTGCAGTTTTTTTGTTTCAAGTGTGAAATTTGTGTTCCCTGTGTCCAGGCACAGGTTTCACTATTTTGGGGCCACAGTCACGAAAATAGTGAAATTTGCACAAAATAGGACTCACACAATCAGCATAAAAGAAGCCAAACTTTTCGTTTAATAAAACGTATCTCAGAATAATGACACTAATGGCAGAACCTCCAGCCTTGAAACAACACATTTTTTAAACACTGTTTGAATGCTTGAGCCTTGATAGGGTCTAATAAGTCCAATTGCATCCTCGGGGAGGCTGGGGACCTGTAGTCTGAGTAGACCATGTATAATTAACATCTCCTTTACAGAGGTAGCCTGTTACAGCAGAAGCCTGAGAAGTTTACCACTGCTAGAAAACAGCAGTGATAGAGGAAGCTGTAAGGTTGAAAAAGGATTGGCTGGCACAGGGTTTTCCTGAAGCAAAAAACAGTTTTTCTTCAGTTACTACTGAAGAAAAAACATGGATGTATGAAGTGTCTAGGGGAGCTATAACTAAAGTTTTTTGTTTGGCCTCAAGTTCTAGCAAACAGTCTGGCAAATCAAGAAGGGGAAATAGGGCTTGGCTGTTCACATATGGAGACTGGTGATCCCAAACAGGAACTTGGTTTAATAGTGGAAAAATACTGGGGAGCTCCTGAACCCAAGCAACGCATCCTCAGTACAGAAGGCAAAGTCTGAAGACCTACCTGGGGGAAATCTTGCACATTTTCCAGTAGTTAGTTGTGGTAGTTGCAAAACTCCTCAATGGCAAGGTGTAGGATGTGAATGAGATTTTGTGATGAGATGCTAAAGTCTCTGAATGTGGTTTGGTGGTTTAGGCTGACTCCCCGTTCAGTGTTGCGGAGAGGTACCTCAAAGGTGTTTTAAAGGGTCCATTAAGAAACAAATTACTATGATTTTTAAATAATGGTTCATTGGTGATTAATAGTAAATTTACATGTCTGAATAAAAAAAAAACTATGTAAAAAAGAAAAATGAAAAAAGGTTGTTGTTTTTTTCCTTTTTCTTTTTTAAATTGTTTTTTATTTTTTTGCTTTTATTTGAATAACAAGGATATTTCTGAGTAACCCCAAACACCTGAATGGTATTTTAGACTGAACAAAGTAGACTTTCAGGCTTTAACAGTTAGATCTTTTACCAAAACACTAATTTTGTGTGGTCTGATTTCACTGCTCAATGCAAAATTTGCATTGACCAAGAAAGGTTTGAATTATGTTACAGTATCCAAATTTGTGTTCAAACAGAGAGAGCTTGTGCATGTGGCATTGCTAAAGCAAGAACCAGGAGCTTCATTCACCCTTGGTGATGCAGATTCCGAACCTTGCATCTACTCATCAGGTGAACCTTTTCTCAGGGAGGATGGGACCTATGACATTACCGTATCATTCACATCCATCAACCCAGGCTTGTACAGACAGTGGTTAGTGCTTGATTTTGACATGAGACCAGTGCTCTTGAAAAAACTCAAAGTCAGAGTAGGCCATTCTGTAGTCACTGAACAACCAGCTGTGAGCAGTGGAGCAAGATTTCAGAGTTGTGAACGTTGGCACAGAGGGAACAGGATAATCATCCCATGTTCGTCGAGGACAGAAGAACAGGATGAGTTATTAAAGATGTACAAGCCTCCACAGATTAGTTTCCTGTATAAATCCTCCCACAACATTCAAACACCACTGAATAATGAAAACTACAAAGAAAGAATGCACCATTTCCTCTACAATGAAGAATGTGCAGAAGACCAGGTTGTTTCAAGGTAACAGGGTTTTGTATATCATTTAAAATTTTCTGTTTGAATTTGCACATATACTCAGTTGCCTAAATTTTTTTTTTCATATTTTTTTAGACTAAATGTTTGTGGAGAAATTACAGCACTGGATACATTATACAGTTTGCAGTTTGGTGTGGAGGCTCCTCGGGGGCAACTTTTTGGTGTTGTCTTGATTCCTTGTCACATTACACAAGACAGCCCTGAGGGACTGACACTAAAACGAAGCATCCGATCTGCCCTGATAGCCCCTTTAACTTCTCGCCCAAACTCTAAAGTCTATGAAGCCAGTGTGTTGCCATACAAAACAACTGAGAATAAACTTTTTTTGCTACTGTCAAAGCAATGTTGCTTTGATCTTGCACTAAAAAGAAATGAATCATATCAAATGGAGGTGCAATTCCAGCTGGACCGCCTCAACTACTGCACCATGCACAGGGCTGTCGATCTTCTTCCCGAGACAAAGACTGTGCTGCCAGTCCTTAAAAGTTGTGTAATTCCTGTTGGTAACGTTACCTGTGAAAATCTCAACACAAAGCAGCACTTAGCAATTGAATTTATCACAGGGAATTCTAATGTCAAAAACCTTGTGGCACCCCTCCTGATTTATGGACCTTTTGGAACTGGGAAGACATTCACCCTTGCAACAGCAGCCAGAGAGCTTTGTAAGGATCCTCAGAACAAAGTTCTAATTTGCACCCACACCAACAGGTAATATATTGAAAATATATGCACCAGTCTGGGCAGTTTTGTCTTTATTCAAAGTTTGAATAATTTTAGACTTATTCAGAGTCTAAAATTGGGTAAAAGTTTGTTCTAAAGTGAAGGTTTGGTATATCTCAGTTAACATTACACTTTGGTAATGTTTCAAAAACATTTTAATGACTATACATTTCTTTAAAACAAAAAAAAAAACATTTCTGAGTAGATAGAGCGGGTCACTAACTAGAAGGCACTTAAGCACAGAGAAAAAAATCAAATCAAATGCTAACATTTACTTGTCATTTCCTTTCAGTTCAGCAGATCTATATGTCAGAGAACATTTCCATCCAATCATCAGCAAGAAAAATGGTGGAATCAGGCCAATCAGAATAAAAGCAAACAAACAAGGGACTGCTTTGCATGCTACTGATAGCATTACTTTGAAATACTGTCTCCTTTCAGAAGAAGGACATTATTTTCTACCACCTACAAAAGCTGCTCTAGATCAGCACAACATAATCATAACTACCACAACCATGGCAAGACATTTTCATGACCTAAATCTTCCAGAGGGATACTTCACCCACATTCTGATTGATGAAGCCTCTCAGATGCTAGAATGTGAAGCCCTAATGGCTCTTGGTCTTGCTGGGTCAAACACAAGAGTTGTTCTAGCAGGAGATCACATGCAAATGGGACCAAAGCTTTTCTCCGTGCCTGACCATGATCGTTCCAATCACACACTCCTCACTCGCTTGTTCCACTATTATCAAGGCCAAAACTGTGATGCTGCTAAGAAAAGCAGAATCATTTTTCATGAAAATTATCGCTCAACCAGAGAAATTGTGGAGTTTGTCGCCACCCATTTTTACGTTGGTAAAAATGATTTCATCAAAGCTGCTGGAGATGTTCCACCTCCTACAAACTGCCATGCCGTGGAGTTTCACCATGTCAGGGGAGAGTGCCTCTTGGAGACAGTATCGATGTCTTGGTATAACAACGCAGAGGTGACAGAAGTGGTTGAAGTAGTGAAAGATATTCTTAAACACTGGCCAGCAAGCTGGGGTCACAAGGACCAAAGCTCAATCTGCATTCTGTCAGAGGGATTTCAGGTAATAACTTTTTGTGTTGAGTCCAGTTATAATCAGACTAAAAGATAAACATTAATCACAGTAATGGTAAATACAGGACTTCAAGATTAATTTCAAGACACACATTTAATGTTTTTTCATTGATTTCCTTGATTTATAGGTTTCTCGAATTAGGACAGCGCTTTCAAGCAGAAACCTTGCAAACATCAAAGTTGAGAGACTTGCAAATGTTCAAGGTAAAGACCCCTTGCCAGATTCTTCATTACTGTAGACAGAAAGGTAGTCTAAACTAACATCGCTATTATTAACATTTTCAAATAACACCTTGGATGTGTCTACAGGAAAACAGTTCAGAGCAGTCATAATGACAACTGTGCAAACACGTGACAGCCTAAAAACATCTCACCTGCCTGGTCTGGAGATGTTCAATGATGCCCGCGTTTTAAACACTGCAATGACAAGGGCTCAATCCCAGGTGGTTGTAATTGGAGATGCTGCCGCCCTGTGTTGCTTTGGGAAATGTTCAGGAATCTGGAAGAGTTTCATAAACCACTGCATCAACAGCAACAGTGTTGCACCACAGCATTTCACTAAAGAGTTCTTTGAACAAGATATTATGGAAACTGCAAAGTTTCAGAAGTTCGAACATGTGGATGAGAGCCATACTCTAGATGATGCGATTCTTAAAGAGCTGAAAGATGATTATGAGCAACTGAAAACAGATGAAGACAGTTTGGAATTTCAGATGACCTTTTCAAATCACGATGGGTCAAGAGCACTATACAATTTCCCCGATACTGGCACAGATCTTTTAAAGATGTGTAAAAAACAACCGGAGATTTACAAACTTGGGAAGTTTTTCAGGGAATCACACAGGAAAGGCTACGTCAAACCATTCCATAATCCGACCAAACGAATAAGCATCGTGGGACAGGCAAATCTTGGTAATGCCTTTACTGGAGATCAAGTGGTCCTCCACGAAACAAAAGTTGTACGCATCACCAAGAAAGAAGAATCAGCACGTGTACTTCTGTGCCTGCTTGAGGATGAAGATCACAGCAAATCACGACAGAATTCTGAAAGCAAATTTATCAGAAGGATGATGATGCCGATAAAAAAATCGGAGCCCAAAATATGTATACTGATTTCCAAGAAGCAACGCAACTATATGCCAATATGGGAGGAAATTGATGGAGAATGGACAGTTGTAACACAAATGTATATTGATGAAAATCTTAAACAGAACAGTGTATTCAAGGTGCAAGTGATTTGCTGGAAAGAAAACTATTTTTTTCCATTGGGGTACATCATAGATATTCTTCCAGTTGGCAGCTCTTTGGATTCTGGACTAACGATCCTGGATGAAGAATTCAAAGTTGCGTACAATACATGCAAATCAGACAAGGCTGTTTACAACACTGATGAAAACAATACAAACATACTGGACTTGCGTAAGATAATCACTTTTACTGTGGATCCTGCAAAAGCAAAGATCCTGGATGATGCTATCAGTGTCAGGGAACTTGAAGATCATTACGAATTGGGACTCCATATTGCTGATGTGGCAAGTGTTGTGAAGCCAGGTGATGATTTAGATAGGGCTGCAGAAGAAAGTGGCACTACCTACTACTGTGCTGAGGAGAAACCTATTTACATGTTTCCCGACGAGTTGAGCATTCAACTCAGTCTGCAAGAAGGTCGAGATCGCAGGGTGGTCTCACTGATGTTCAATGCAGAAAAGGATACAAATAAGATAATAGGACAACCCGAATTTCAACTGTCTATAATCAACTCTGACAAGCAGCTGTCATATTTAGAGGCAGAGGACATCATCTCCAAAAGCTATAAAGAGACCCCCAAATTTGATACTGTTGAGCATTGTGTAACGGTTGCTTATTGTTTTGCAAAAGCTCAAAGGAAGATAAGACTTAAATCTGATTGGGCTTATTCTCAAACCGATGCTGACAGATTGCCCGGGCAGCGCAAAGCACATCTGATGATTGAAGAGCTTGCTGTGTTATTTAACCATCATGCATCCAAGACTTTGATCAGCTGTGACAAAACCAGGTATTCCACACCACTTCGCTGTCAGGCAAAACCAGATCCTGGAAAGGTAGAAGAATTCAAAGAGGAATGTGGAGAATTTATACCATTGTCTTTTCTCGTGCGGCACAAAGTAGACCATGAACAACAAAGCCCAAAGTGTCAAAACTTTCGCATACTCCCTGAAGTGTGGAAAGAAATTGTTGCAGCTACCAGAACAGATGATACAGACAAAATGATAGATCTAGTTGCTGCTGACGAAATCCATCCTCTGGTACAACCAGTCACTCAAAAGTTCAGAAGGTGCTTCAGTAAAGCTTACTTCATCTGTTCAAAATCATCTCCTGAGGCAGAAATAGGGCATTATTCTCTGAACCTAAAGTCTTACACAAAAGCTTCCTCACCAATACGGCAGTACATGGATGTCATCTTGCAAAGACTCTTGCATTCTTACATATGTGATACAGATGTTCAATACACTAAATCAAAGATCATGGCTTTGTGCAGTCAATTTCAGGAGAACTTCAAGAATGCCGAGAAGTATGAACAGAAGGCTGAGCAAATTTCATATGCAGTGAGCATGAAAAAACAAAGTGCTTCAAAGATAGCCTTTGTTGTTCATGCAAATCCTGAAGAAGACAGTTTTGCAGTAGCATTTCCCTTTAACAAGAACATATTTGTTGGGAATTTGCCAATTATGTACAAAGATTTGCAACTAGACGATCAACCATTTTACGATGAAGAAAAACACAGTGTCACTCTTAAATGGAAAAGGCGGATCTATTCAGCTGATGCCATGCAAATCCACCAAGAGCTGAAAATGATGGCAGATAGTCATCCTTGCATTGAGGTTCCATTGAGAGTATGGAAAGATACTATTGAGGCAATTGACAATGGAAAATTAGATCATGCAAAGCAACTCTTAATGCATGCTGATGCTGATTTGAAGGAACTGGGAAAACAAACTGTTTTGCCTCAGTCCTCTGAAGGTTACTATATTCAGGCTGAAAAGTGTCTCTCTGAGGAGCAAGAAATACCAGAGATGCAAACTGAGCATTTTGTTGACATCCAACTCGAGTTGCAGCCAGGTGACATCCTACAGGTCCAATTGACTTCAAGCATTAAGCGAGGTTATCAAATGCCCACTGTTCAGTTGGTACACATTAAACCAAAGTTTGAAATGTGTGTTGACCATGTCAACAGCCCTATCACATGCTTCTCCAGATTGGCAGATATTCCTTCAAGGACTTATTACAATGATACCAAGGAGTATATACGGATCTGGAAACCTTTGTGTGAGATGGAATCTGCTGCCAATGCAGTGAATGAAAGTGATATCGTTATCATTGAGAACCTCCAGGTAAAGTTTAACCAAGAGTTGGAAGGCATACTCAAAGGAAGCTTTTTCTTACCGCTACAATGGATCAACGAATGGGCCATTGAATTTAACCTTCGAAACTGCTTTCTGTGCATACGGAAAAGAGGTCTCAAACTGGAAACTTCAAATGTGGAAACTTCAAACGCCCTGGTAGACCCAAAAGAGTTCACATGGGTAGCCCATGGTTTCACAAGTAATGCAGAAAAATTAAAAAATGGTGGAAGTAAAGTGGAGTTCTACATTAGTCACCTGCCTATGGAGACCATTCCTGAATGTGTTTTTCAGAAAAACACTCATTTCACTGTTGAAATCATTCCAAAACTCATCCCTGACATGTAAGTTCAGTTGTAGTTCAGTTTTATATTACATTGCTTACTGGATAGTTGAAACTTTTTTTCAGTTACACATTTTCTTACTTTGATTGACACTGATTTACTTCTTTATTTCTGTAGCCGGAAAGAAAATGCTGTAGTCAACATTACGTCGGCATGTGACTTTGTTAAGGCTATAGCACTAGGGCAGCGCATTCCAAAAGAGGGTATGTTCATCATTCATCAATAAACAGTTTGATATTTATATCCACATTAGTTACACAGAATATTACAAGCTCCAAACCCAGAATTTATTTAAATCTTTTGCATTGTCTTTCAGTTAAATCAAGCTTAAATATTGTGAGGAGAAACATAAATGGACTGCCAGAGCTGAACCAGAGCCAGCGTCGTGCAGTAGATAAAGCTCTAAATAATACATTCACACTGATACAAGGACCCCCTGGTAGGTGTGTCAACTTGTGTACCTTGATGGTTCATATTTTCTGCTAAGTCTTAAACCATTTTCTTTGCCTCTTAGGAACTGGAAAAACAGTAGTAGGTGTGTACATTGTACACAGTTTTTTTGAGCACAACTCTAAAAACAAAATGAAATTGGATGACCCAAAGGATAAGGAAAAGAAAAAGGTCATTCTCTACTGTGGGCCATCCAACAAGTCTGTTGATGTTGTAGCAGGCAAGTTATGTTGATTCTCTGCAGAATTTAATCTCAATTTCATCTTTGAAGTGGTCATCAAAACCCGTTGTGTTCCCTGTGTCTTTTATTGCTTTATCACAGAGTACTTAATGAGGTTTAAGGACAGCCTAAGGCCCCTCAGGGTTTACAGCCAAGAAGTGGAGATGCTTGATTTCCCTTTTCCAGACTGCAAGCTGCAGTTTTCCCAAAGAACCCTTCGCCAAGATCGTTCCAAACCAGAGCTCAGGTACTGCAATCATATCAGTTGGTGACTAACTGCTTTTGGATTGTTTTGTTGATTGTTAATATAACACTGGCCTCTTTTACATTAATTTAGGGATATCACTATGCATCACCGCATGCGTCAGGACCAAAACATTTATTCAGTTCAAATAAAAGACTTTGATAAACGTATTAAACTTGCTTTTGAAAAAAAGGGAGAACTGACTGCTGAAGAAGTGAAAGAGTAAGTTATTTTTTGTTTTTGTTTTTTATTTTATTTTTTAGTGCCTGAAAAATTATTTTTTGACCTTTTAAATTAATGTATTGTTGGAAGATTTTGGAACATTTTTTAAATAAATGTTAGTGAAACTATTATTTGCAGTAAAAGCAATCAATTTTGCATAAAAATCAGTTGAAGGAACTGTATGGATTGTTTTCCTAGATACAAAAACCTTCTCAGAGACGCTCGGGCATATGAACTCCAACAGCACGACATCATACTGTGCACATGTACGCAGTCTTCCACCCCAGTCTTGACTAAGACTGTCACTGCACGTCAAATTCTAATTGATGAGTGTGCTATGGCCACTGAACCCCAGGCCCTGATTCCACTAGTCTGCAACAAACCAGAAAAGGTTTGGACATCATCAAATGCTGTGTTTCCTTCCTTGAGTTGCTCTGCTAGGCCTTTATAGAAACCACTGCTGCCTGTTCTGAGGTTCTTTCTGTCTTCTTTAATAACTAAAAAGCATGCTCTCTTGGACTGAAACCAGGGGGTTTAAAGAAGTTTAGAAAAAGACCCCCCATCAGTACTAAATGTGGTTAATAAGATAAAATGATGTTGCTTCATATTGCTGACAAGACATTTAAAAAAGATATATTTTTGCACAGAAACACACTAAGCAGTTTTCTGTTGGTTAGAAGTGTAAAACAAGGTTCAAGTGGTTCACCGATCATATCCATGGGGTCAATATTAGTAACTATAACTTTTAAAAAAAACACACGAGTGTAACTGTGGCAAGAGACATAACAGTGGAGATACTCATAACCTAGTATTACAAAGACAAAGCCAACACATGATAAAACAGGAATCATATTCACACAATGACAATGAATGGATGATTTTTATAATACTGGACAATAGTTCAATTCCTTTTTATTCATACAGCACCAAATCACAACTGCAGTTGCCTCAAGGCGCTTTATATTGTAAGGTAGACCCTACAATAATACATACAGAGAAAAACCCAACAATCATATGAGCAAGCACTTTGGAAACAGTGGGAAGAAAAAACAGGGAGGGGCAGCCATCTGCTGCAACCAGTTGGGGTGAATAAGACCTCTAGATACTATTGAGCTTACAGTGGTAAATATCTTAAAATACCTGTCTTAGAGTCTCACGGGCTAATTGTCTACTGGAATAGACTGTACTCAAGTGACAGTAGCCTGATGGGTGGTGAAGAAAATTGATCTAATAGCATCCTTTCAACTAAACTTAGGTCAAGGGGCATCTTTTTAGAATCTAGGACTACTACTTCATTTTCATTTATGACTACTCCTAACCCATCTTTTGTAAATAAGACCCCAAAAAAGAGGGTGCCTCATCGCTGCTTTGACAGTAGTCACTCTATTGCTAGTTACTCACTCTGTCTTACACTATCACCAATATAACTTTCAGATTGTTTTGATTGGGGACCACAAACAGCTACGACCCATTGTGAGGAACGAACGCGTGAGGAAGCTTGGAATGGCCAAGTCTCTGTTTGAGCGCTACTATACAATCCATGAGAAGAGCGCAGTTATGCTGGACATCCAGTACAGAATGGTAAGAACATTAACTTTACACGATAGAAGTGTATATAATAGTGATGTATAGCACATAATAAATATACTGGATTACAAAAGTTTAAGACCACATCAAAAATCTAATCTTACCATATTAAAGTTTTTATATATGCTAAACTTAATAAAGTACACACACATGCACAATCCTGTATGTGTGTGGGGGGAATAGAACAAGAATTTAAACAGCAGATTAGTGAAATTGCAGTGGGAACACATCTGTAGCCTGCCATGGAAGTAGGTTTCAAGTGATTCAGGTGAATTTGATCTACTCAACAGAGGCTTGTTCAAATCAATAATTTTGCTGTCATTATTCACCTGGATGCTTGACCTGCATGTCAGTCAATTTTTCATCAAAACATTGTTGGAAAAGTAAAACATCACTGACTATGTGGGGGTATAAATATGGCCTCAGTTATCAGATTTGAACAAACTTTTGGAGTCTCCGCAGCTCTATATTTAAACGGGGCCAAACAAATACGCTGTAACTATTTACTGCTGACAGGTTTCACAGATTCACTCAAATCTTACTCACTCCATTCTTCACTCAAATTGTTTAGATAGAGAGTATCTTGCCTATATTAAGTCTAATTGACAATGCCAGCTTAACAATTTGTTAGTATACTTATTAGTATAAGTATCTTGCCAAGTGGTCTCATACTTTTGGATTGCACTCTTTATACACTACATTGACTACCACATTCAAATTCTAACTAAACTGTTATTTACCTTGATAGCATGAGGACATATGTGCGTTCCCATCAGATGAATTTTATAATAGAAATCTGAAAACTGGAGTGACACAGCAGAGGAGTGTCTTTCAAGTTGACCACAAGACAAAACCCATTGTTTTTGGGGATGTCAAAGGAAAGACGATAAGTCTAGTTGTCAACACAGCACAAGGCAACCAAAACTCTAAAGCTAATCTTGAAGAGAGAAACAAAGTGGTACAGTATTGGATGTTCTTTTGTTTCCTCTTAAACAGTAACATTTAAATATAAAAAAGCAAAAGTTACTGTAAAGCTACTGGGTGCTCAACTATGTCAATTTGGTTCTCTTGCAGATTACCATTGCTGAAAAGCTAGTGAAGACTGCCAGAATTGCACAGCAAAGTATTGTGATTTTATCACCTTATAATGCCCAGGTGTCAGAAATCAGGAATGAGCTGAAGAAAAAGAAGATGGAACAAATCCCAGTTACCACGATCACAAAAAGTCAAGGTGACAGTGAGCTACTCTGTTACCTAACAACAAAACCTTTCCTAAAGTTTCCTAAAAAGGAAAGGCTTCAGAATATGTTTCAAAATATAGTAAAATATATTTAGAATAAAAGAAAACATTAAAACTATATCAAATGTAATATAAGATAAACAAAACATAATTTGGAAAAAAGCCAACAGAACAAAAAAAACTGTTCAGTTTAAAAAAGACCCATGTGTTGTAGTTTGCAGTTTGTTTTTGAATATAAAAGCAAATATAATTGACTTCATTTAATTCAGTTGACATGGAATTTTTTTTCTGGGTATGATTCAGGAATTTCTCACAAAATCATGAAACCAGAAGAACTACAACAAAGGATAATAACTAGGAAATTGGGGGATTAGGATCCGTTTGCATAATAAGCAATACTCAAAAGTGTCAAAGGATAGACACAGGAAAAACTCAGTTATGCTGTTTAATGATAGCAAAATATGTGACAACATTCTTGTCTTTTAGGAAGTGAGTGGCGTTATGTCATCTTATCTACAGTGTGCTCTCTACCAAATGAAGAAATTGAGAAACAACCAGAAAGAAGCTGGCTTTCCAAACATCTGGGCTTTGTTGGTGATCCCAGTCAGATAAATGTAGCCATCACCAGGGCCAAGGAGGGACTCTGCATCATTGGTGAGATAATGCAGCTCTGCAGATCTGTTTTTAAGAATTATACAGACGTTGATGAGCTCCTATTATACAGTTGTCTGAGAAAATGACTCTTGTTTACACTATTAATTGAGTTGTGGATTTTTTGAAATTACTACCACTGTCATATTCCTAACCTAGTTTCACTGAATAACCAATAACGATTATTTTAAAGCATGTTTTAAAACATTTTGGTAATTAAAACCTAAAATGTATTCAGTTATAAATATATTTTATTATTGTGTAGAGTAAACTATTCAGTTCTTCATTATTGCTACTCATAAGTCATAATAAGTTTTAATTTTAAACATTCACAATGCTACTTGTACATGGCAAAAACCTCACCTGAGTAAAAAGTCTGACTTTGGTGCGTTGTCTGCTATTTGTAGGCAGCTTGTATGCAGGAGGCCATATTAGCAGTTGTAGTCTTGTTTCATATTTGCTTTTTGGGGGGTAAATGATGACGCAAATCAGCTGTATTGCCACTGTATTTTTGGCCAGACTTTTTCATACAGGTCAGTTTGATGACCAGATCATTATCTAGTTTTCAGCATCACTTTTTAAAAGTGGATGTTTCTAAATTGAGCAACATTACAAAGATGAACGAAGCAGTCTCTAACATGTGTCTATTGTTTCAAAGGTGACCAAGAATTGCTCATGTGCAGTACAACTTGGAGCCATCTCTTGAAACACTACACTCTTCACAATGCAGTGACAAGTGCAGACAAGATTTCAGTGTGTTCAGCCACCTGATTGATTCTGTGCGTTGTGAAGTTTGCAGCAGCAGACCAGAGCTCCTACGGGGAAGCTAGTACAATTTTATGATTTTTTTTTTATGTCATTAGTTTTCTTTTTTTCAGTTCTGTTTTTAAGTTTATATTGGAAATATTTCTTTTATTACATTCACCTTACTCATTTGAAATATGAATAGTAAGTAGGAAATCTTACAACACTTCGTTACATGAATTGCAAATATTGAATTTTGTATCACAGTGAATATTTCAGTTGTGTATCGCTAGCAGGAGAGTTGGCATGTTATTATAGATCTTTTAAGTTAATTTAGGTATACCTGAGCTGTATGAACTATCAAATTGTCAGTAGTTCCTGCTTATTGATGAATTATTTTGTTTTCTTACCTGAAACCTTGGTTTAGCACTTAAACAGCCTCACCATTCAGTGAGCCTGTCACTGTTTTTAAGGAAATATTATAATATTGCTTTTTTTGTCTTTTTACATTTTTTTATATTGTATCTTCAGGGATCAGCTTTAGCTGGAGTTTTGGACCAAAATCCTGGTTGTTTATTGTATTGTTGTATGTATTGACATGTGTAAATTCTAAGTTTGAATTTAAATGATATTGCTCCTTTATACCATGTTTCACATTGAACTCTGTCTTCAAATATATAGTGTAATAGTAATAATGCTCTCAAATTGATCAATATTCACTGTGGGTTTTGTCTTTGATTGGCTAATGAACTGTATTGAATAAATAATTAATAAACTGCTCAAAAAAATGTAAACACATCCAAACTCAATCATGCTGGATATCTTTGGTGATAATGACTGTTAAAAATGAAACAGTGCCACATTTATTTTGATGGAAATTAAAATCATCAGCTTACAGAGGGCAAAATTCAAAGACATCCAAAAAATAAAAGTAAAAACAATTTGCATGCTAGTCCATTTTGCCAAAATTTCATAGAGCCACTCAAAATGGTACTCAAAATAGTGTGCCTGACAACACTGTAGCATGTTCCTGATGAGACAACTGATCGTGCCCTGGGGGATCTCCTCCCAGATTTGTATCAGGGCATCACTGAGCTCCTGGACAGTTTGAGGTAGCATTGGATGGCCTGAAACATGCTCAGATGAGTTTGGGGGCCAGTCGGTGATATCAAATTCTTCATCCTCCAAGAACTGCCTGGATAGTCTCACCACATGAGCCTGGACATTGTCGTGCATGACCTATGCCACCTGCATAGGGTCTCACAATGGGATTTCATCCCCATACTAATGGCAGTCAGGGTTCTGTTGCCTAGCCTGTAAAGGTCTGTCCCTGGATATACCGCCCCAGACCTACCACCAAACCAGTCCTGTTAAACAATGTTAAAGGGAGCATATTGAGCTCACAAGCCCTTTTGATGTCTGTCACATGCACTCGGGGTGATCCTGTTCTCATCTGTGAAAATCACAAGGTGCCAGTGGTGTACTTGCCAATTCTTGTATTTTATGACAAATGCCATTCAAGCTCCACAGTACAGGGCAGCTCACTAAATGACACCAGGCCCTCAAGCCACCCTTGTGAAGTTTGCTTCTGATTGTTTGGTTAGATATATTTAAACCAGTCTGCTGAAGGTCACTTTGTAACTCTGGTGCTCGTGTGTTGCTTCTTGCACAAAGAAGCAGACACTGGTCCTACTGGTGGGTTAAGAACTTCCTATGGCCCTCTCCAGCTCTCCTAGAGTAACTTCCCATCTCCTGGAATCCTCTCCATGCTGTGCTGGACACACAGCAAACCTGTTGAAAATGAAACGCATTGATGTACCATCCTGAAGGAGTTGGACTACCTCTGCAGCCTCTGGAGCATCCAGGTATCATCTCATGCTACCAGTAGTGACTAGTGATGGGTCGTTCGCGAACGAAATGGCTCTTAGAGCCGGATCTTTGACGTGAACGACGCGAGCCGGCTCCTTATCTCGAGCCGTCACGTGGGTTTTTTTTGTTTTTTCTTTCTCTCAGCCTCTCTCTCGCACTTTTTTTCTGCTTCACTCAGCATGCGAGCCTTGTGCTTTACGCTGGGCAGAGGGGGGAGGGGCGGTAGTTACACTCAGTAGCACAGGAACAGAGCCGGAGGGAGAGAAAGAGCCAGGGACAACAACGCCACATTAGAAAGGTATAGTAATCATACACAACTATTTTCAGTTGCAGATGATAAAGGATTCAGAAAGTTTATTCATGCAGGTCCATATGACAGAGAATGTGCATCTTCTTTTTGTTTTCATATTTTAATTTATATTTAATTGTGT